AAAAAAAAAAAAAAAAAAAAAAAAAAAATAATTAAATGTTCAATAAATTACAGATTCACCATGTGTATTAAATTGCAATACAACTAAAAAATCTAAAATTGCATTGAAGTCCTTAACATTTGTCTAATTCTCGGAATGAAGCCACATATTTTCTCCTTGTTCACAATAATTCCGGTGTCATCACATTTCGCCGTCTCCGGCGGCAGAAACCGGATCCTTGTGGCCGTGCACCTCTGCCGTCCAGTTCACTATCTCCGACGACATGAGTTGGCCAGATTCTAACTGTCGGCACCTCAATACCTCATAATTTCCTCGAGTTGTAGGCCCGGCAACAGACGGCGTTACGGTGAGGATGGGCGGCAACGGGAGGCGCTACGGTGAACTCGCTGAAGGTACTTTCTCGACGGTTGGCTTCTCGCAGGTTGGCTTCTCCGTCACATCCGTGGACTCCGGCTTCTCCGCCACATCTGTGGACTCCGGCAGCATCGGACGGTGGTCTTCTTTCGGTCAGAGTTGCCGACGATCTCTGGCCCGGACGGCGATGTAGGTGATGAAGTATAGGTGGCGCCGGTGAGGTGGTCGGCGGCCGTGCTCCGCCGTGTGTGAGTATGTGCGTGCGTCCTTCCCGATTCTGTGTGTGTGAGAGAGAGAGAGGAGAGAGAGAGAGAGAGAGAGAGAGAGAGAGAGAGAGAGAGAGAGAGAGAGAGAGAGCAGGGTGTGAGAGAGAGAGAGAAACAGACAGGTTATTGATGTTGGGGTGGGTCCACTGAGGTGTTGATTGGGATATTACCACATTACCCTTAATAAGTGTAATAATTGATATTTTTTTGAGTCATTGGATCATATGATCTAATGGCTAATATTTATTCTTATTTCTTTCATTGAGAACCATTCTCATGGGAGCGCATCCCTATATATATATATATATATATATATAAATAGATTTACCATTTTTTAAAGATGGTAAGTCAAATTCTTAGTCAACATGTTTTGCATTAATTACTTGCCACTAATGATAATAGATATTTTTTTTAAAGCTTCCCCGTGCAATTAATGATTTCCAAGATTTTTGGGATGTTGTTATTTTGTAATTTACCAAATGCACTGATTTTGCGTTAGGAAATCTTATCCCATTAATAAATTTTATCTCATTACATCTCCTTAATATAACACTTATTTTATATTAAGAAATAATAATACCACGGGTCTTGATTTTCAATCATTCACAAATTAAAGAATCTTATAGATTAAATCTAAGCACTTATTTAATAATAAGAAAAAAATCGGCATCTTCAAAACTCCATTTGGATTTTATTTAAAATCACGAATAGTGCATGGTGTATTGTATAATTAATTTGTTATAGTATTTGTAATTACTTTAGGGTATCTACTATATAACAAAATTATCGCATGTTGTATTGTCTAATTATTTTTCTATGGTATTTGTAATTTCTAATATTTTTGCTTAAAATTATTAATGTTTGTTAGACCAACGGTTTTTTAGACTATAATATATAGTAGTGGATATAACTCTAAATATATTTTTATATATAATATTATATATAATTTAAACATGTTGGTTAAGCAATTTTTTTACACATTCGTTAAAGTGTATATATATAGAGAGAGAAATGTTAACTTTAAGTGATTTTAGATATTTTTTTTTTTAGAAAATTATTAGATAATTTCATATTTTTCAAGAATAATATATAATTTTAGATACTTTTACACACTTTATATAATAGTTTAGGTATTATTAATGTTTTAAAAATATATAGACAAATTTTTACATATTATCTAGATTTAAAAATTGTTTTCCTTAGATAATAGTTTAGAAAAAATTTAGGCGACTTCACACATATTTCAAAAATAATGTAAAATATTTTGAATACTTTTTACATATGTGATATAAAATTTTGTATAACATAAAAAGAGACAAAGAGTTATTAAATGGTAATTTTTAGATATAAAATTCTATTATATTTGTTATAACTTTACATGGAAATTATGTTATAATTATTGATATCATCTCAATGCGTTGCTTTGTTTGTTTGTTTGTTTGTTTGTTCTCTTATTAGATTCATAATATTTTATATAATTTTAAAACTATTGTTTAGACAATTTTGTACACATTCTATCTATGTATACATGTCCACATACACATATACATATACATATGTTAAATATAAATAGTTCTAGGCATGTTTTTTTTTTTTTTTTTTTTTTTTTTACAAAATAGTTTAAAAAAAATAGATGATTCCACATCTTTCAATAATGATATTTAAAATCTTAGATACTTTTACATATGTTATATAATATTTTAGACGTTTTTAATACTTTAAACATACATTTTTTAAATTCTCTTATACAAGATAATTATACATTGTTTACGACTCGTATACGATAAATTATATTACATATTAAGTTCACATCTTTAATTTATAATTATTAGTTAATATTATGTAACATCATTTTTAATTTATAACCATTAACTAATATTGTCTACCCGTGCATCGCACGGGATACTGACATTCATTTCATGCATTATGAGTGATATAGTGTGATGTTTGACCGTGTTTATCGTGGGTTTGTGCACCATTTTGTTTGATTTATTAATCTATGATGGAGGTATATTTGTCGTTGGTTTTGTAGGAAATATGCCCGAAAAAGCGTTAAAGATGGAATCGGAACGAAAAACGACGAAAATAAGGTGCAGGCAGGTCACACGACTCGTGTGGTGCGTGACACGAGTCGTGTGGGGTGAGCAAAATCGGAATTTTGGTGCGGCTTTACCACACGAGTCGTGTGGCCCATGACACGAGTCGTGTGGGCTCACACGGCTCGTGTGACTTCTCGTGTGGGGTGCTCGTGTGAACCTGGAACTTTGCCGAAAATTGAAGAAAAGTCACACGACTCGTGTGGCCTGTGACACGAGTCGTGTGACGCGCAGACAGTCCAGCGGGAAATAGGAAACCTACGCGATTTTGTCCCTTTTTCAACCCATATTTGCCCTACAGTATATAAGGAACATAAAGAACACGGTTTTGGGACTTTTGACACCATTGGAGGCCTGGAGAAAGCACGAAACACACGAGGGATTCGAGGAAGTCAAGATTGAAGATCCGGGAACTAACAGCAACAATAGTTCTTCTTTCTTTTCTCTTTTTCTTCTTCATTGAACTCATGGATTTATTTATTTTGAGTATTGAGAATATGTTTAGTAGCTAAATCTCTTTGAGATTCTAGGATTTGCGAGTACTCGGATTATTTTATGAAGTAATTTTGTTTATTCATTCCGGTCTATCTTTCGTTTATCAGTTTCTTGTGATTATATGAATTGTGTGAATATAGGGCCCGTATTTATGCATATTTGTGATTGACTTGAGACCGAGAGGAGATAGTTAATTGCTAGAATTGAGAAATTCATAACGTAAGAGACTAAACAGACCGAGAGGTTGATAGAATCTTGCGAGGGAACTAGAATCTTAGAAGCTTATGGGAGTTAGTTGTTCATTTTGAGACCGAGAGGAGATAGATAGCAATTAATATCTACGATTTAACTTGTTCGAGAGAAAGGTGTAAATTACTTTAGCGATTATCCCTACGATTGGTAGAATTAAATAAGGTTTGAATGAATACGAAAACTTCGCTAGAATAATCCCGAGGAAAGCATAGCCTAGAATCTATTATCTCATTCTTGATTTATTTAGAACAAACCTTCATTACTGTTAGAATTTATTTTTGCATTCATTCATTAGTTTAGAATAAAAACTCCAATCGAATTTGCATTAGTCTAGATAATATTTAATCGTCGATATTTTGGTACTTAATTAGTTTAACAACAGTCTCTGTGGAATACGACCTTGCTCGCCGCTTTCTGCAGCTACTCCGTACGCTTGCGGGTAGTAAAAATATTTTGCGAACAAGTTTTTGGCACCGTTGTCGGGGACTGTTTTGTTAAAAGTAATTAATATTAGAAGAAGACGGGTAGATATTACTTTAGTCATTTTTATTTTTGTTTAATACTTTGGTTCTTAATTGCACCCTTTTTGGTTTGTGTGTTTTGACAGGCACGTGCATGATTACGAGGTCTAGTGGGAATTCACCCGCAAAATTTGATTCCGAGATTGAAGCTAGTTGTCGAAGGAACAACGCAAATCGGAGACTACAACAACGACTGAGAGGTGCAATGGAGGAACAAGGTGAAGAGAGGTATAGACAGCTCGAGGCACAAATGGCGGAGCTACAACGCCAATTAGTTGCGCAGCAGGCTCAACAAGAGCCAGGAACACCGGTTCGAAACATCTTCCAACCTCATGTTGATCAAGTATATGGAGGAGGTCACGGGCCGAGAATTGTGGCTAATACTTTTGAGTTGAGCCCGTCCTTGATTCGAATGGTGCAGCAAGAGCAGTTTGGGGGAGCTGCAATCGAGGACCCGAATGCGCATCTGGCGCAATTTCTGGAGATATGTGGTACAATGAAGTACAATGGAGTCCCGGAGGACGATATCCGGCTTAAGCTTTTCTCTTTCTCTCTTAGATATAAAGCCAAGGTGTGGTACAATTCTCTTGAGGCCGGGACAGTGACAACATGGGATGAGATGCGTCAGAAATTTCTCTTGAAGTTCTTCCCACCGAGTAAGATGTTGAGACTTCAGACGGAGATCACTCAATTCAAGCAACAAGATGGTGAGCCTTTATACGAGGCCTGGGAGCGTTACACGCAACTCCTTCGGACGTGCCCACAGCATGGATTTTCGGAGGAGCACCAAATTTGCTATTTCTATAATGGATTGAGTGGCCCGATGAAGGCTATGGTGGACGCCTCAGCTGGAGGTGACCTTTTGGGAAGGCGACCGAATGACGCGAAGCGAATTCTTGAGGAGATGGCATCGAATAGCTATCAGTGGCCGGTTGAGAGGACTATGTTCAAGAGAGTGGCGACTACGAATGAGGCGGACTCAGCCGCTTCGATGGCGGCTCAAATAGCAGCATTGGTGATAAACAACATGCAAGGGAGAAAGGCTGAGAGCTTAGGAGTTGGGGAACCGGTCGAGGACGTGAATTATGTGAATAATCGGAATTTTGGGAATTTTCGAGGACCTCAAGCGGGGAACACTTATTACCAAGGCAACCGGAATCACCCCAGTTTATCATATGCAAATCCGAATAATGCTCTACAACCACCTCCCGGATTTTCGGTGACAAATGGGGTCATCAATGAGCCGAAGAAGCCGACAATCGAAGATATGTTCGCCTCGTTCATGACTCAAACGCAACAATTCATGGACGAATCTCAGGCTAAGCACTCTACCTTGGAGAAGCAAATAAAGTCAATGGAACAACAAATTGGACAGTTGGCCACGACAGTTGGAAGTCTACAGCAGAGGGGACAATTTCCGAGCAACACAGAGGTGAATCCGAAGGAACAATGCAAAGCCATCCGTCTAAGGAGTGGCTTGGAGTATGAGGGACCGAGGATGCCAACTAATGAGCCGGGAAAAGTCAAGCCTGAGGAAAGCAAGGAAGAGGAAGAAGTTGAGGAAGTAGTAGTGGAGCCCCCAAAATCGGCAATTACAAGGGCTGAGAAGCCAAAATTTACTTCTAACACTTCTACTCCTAATATTCCTTTACCTTTTCCTCAACGTTTTGCAAAGAAAAAAATTGACGAACAATATGCCAAATTTCGTGAAATATTTACTAAAGTTCAAATAAATATTCCGCTTGTTGATGCATTGTAGGAGATGCCCAAATATGCCAAGTTCTTGAGGGACATGGTATCTAGGAAGAAGAAGCTCAAAGCGTATGAGAAGGTGAATTTGACGGAGGAGTGTAGTGCTATGATCCAAAAGAAGATGCCTTTCAAACGCAAGGATCCCGGGAGCTTCACAATAGTATGCATTATAGGAGGAAAGCGGTTCGGGAAGGTGTTGTGCGACTTGGGAGCAAGCATCAATCTCATGCCACTATCAATTTTCAAGAGGTTGGAGATTGGGACGATTAGGCCCATTACGATTGCATTGCAAATGGCGGATAGATCCTTGTCTTATCCGAAGGGGATTGTGGAAGACGTATTGGTGAAAGTCGAGGGGTTTATCTTCCCGGCTGATTTTGTGGTCCTTGACATGGAGGAAGATAAGGAGGTTCTACTAATTTTGGGTCGTCCATTTCTTGCAACCGGTGGAGCGTTGATTGATGTGAAGAATGGCGAGCTTACTCTCCGGGTTGATGAAGAGAGCATCATATTTTCCATATATCAAGTGATGAAGAATAATAATGAGGATGGTGAGATCGAAGAATGTAAAGTGATTGAAGTTGTCGAGGCTTCCTTCGACAATGACATGATTACTTCTTCGTCTAGATACCCTTTTGATTTATGTGTTCAAAAATTATTATTTTCTTCTTCTTCGTTTGATCCTTTTCAAGAAAAATTATTTAAATGTGTTAATGTGTTGGATTCTTGTAGGAAAATCCCGAAGAGGCAGGCCGCATTTTTGGAGTTGAGACGTGATGAGCCGGGACCAAGTGCAAGTCAAGGAGAAAAGAAAGATGGAGTCCCGAAGTTAGAGTTGAAACCTTTACCGGAGCACTTGAAGTATGCATATCTTGGAGAGAATGACACGTTTCCGGTAATCGTTTCTTCTTACCTTTCTAATTCGGAGCTTGAGAGATTATTGAGAGTCTTAAGAGGGCATAAATCGGCGTTTGGTCGATTAGTGATTTAAAAGGTATTAGTCCCTCTATTTGCATGCATAGAATTTTTCTTGGGGATAATTATAAGCCATGTGTTCAAAATCAACGTAGGCTAAATCCAATTATGCAAGAAGTAGTAAGAAAAGAGGTCCTTAAATTGTTAGATGCAGGGATGATTTTTGCTATTTCTGATAGTGAATGGGTTAGTCCTACACAAGTTGTGGCTAAAAAAGGGGGGATGACTATTGTGAAAGATGAGCATGATGGTGTTGTTGCTACTAGGCTTTTGACAGGTTGGCGTGTTTGTATTGATTATCGTAAATTAAATGCTGCTACTCATAAGGATCACTTTCCTTTGCCTTTTGTGGATCAAATGCTTGATAGGTTAGCGGGTTATGATTTTTATTGTTTTCTTGATGGTTATTCCGGATACAATCAAATTTTGATAGCTCCGGAAGACCAAGAGAAGACGTCTTTTACATGTCCTTATAGTGTTTTTGCTTATCGTAGGATGCCTTTTGGTTTATGTAATGCACCTGCTACCTTTCAAAGATGTATGATGGCAATTTTTCATGATTTAATTGAGAATATTATGGAGGTGTTTATGGATGATTTTTCGGTGTTTGGTACTTCATTTCATAATTGCTTGGCTAATTTATCTCGAGTGTTGCAGCGATGTGAAGAAACTAACCTTGTTTTAAATTGGGAGAAATGTCACTTTATGGTGAAGGAAGGTATAGTTCTTGGACATCGCGTGTCTTCCGCCGGGCTTGAGGTAGATCGGGCAAAAATTGTTGCCATTGAAAAACTTCCACCTCCTACAAACGTGAAGTCGGTAAGGAGTTTCTTGGGCCATGCGGGATTTTATAGGAGGTTCATTCGTGATTTTGCTAAAATTGCTAAACCTCTTAGTGTATTGTTAGAAAAAGATGTTGCATTTGATTTTAGTGAGAAGTGTTTGCAGGCTTTTGAGACATTGAAGAAGTCCCTTGTTAGTGCTCCTATTTTGATCGTGTCGGATTGGGAGCAACCGTTCGAGTTGATGTGCGATGCGAGTGATGTAGCCGTGGGGGTCGCTTTGGGCCAAAAGCGAGATAAACTCTTTCGAGTGATTTATTATGCGAGCAAGACGTTGGATCCGGCTCAAGTAAATTACATGACTACGGAGAAAGAGATACTAGCGGTGGTGTATACGTTTGACAAGTTTCGACCCTACCTTGTTGGGACGAAGACAATCGTGTTTACCGATCATGCGGCAATTCGACACCTCATGGCGAAGAAGGATGCCAAGCCAAGATTGATTCGATGGGTGCCCTTACTTCAAGAGTTTGATCTAGAAATCCGGGACCGGAAGGGATGCGAGAATGTGGTGGCAGATCATTTATCTCGGTTGGAGGGCCCGGTTGAAGGGGATAATCGTTTGGTCCCTATTAATGAAGATTTTCCGGATGAGCACATGATGCACGTTCGGGCCCACCTACCTTGGTACGCCGATTATGTGAATTACTTGGTGTCGGGTGTACCACCTCCGGATTTGTCCTATTATGCGAGGAAGAAATTCTTTCATGATGTGAAGTTCTACTATTGGGACGAGCCATACTTATTTCGGAGGTGCGCGGACATGGTTATTAGAAGGTGTGTCCCCGAAGAGGAATGGAGAGAAATCATGAGGCAATGTCATTCATCACCGGGTGGAGGTCACTTCGCGGGAAACTGAACCGCCATCAAGGTGTTGCAAAGCGGCTTCTATTGGCCGTCCATTTATAAAGATTGTCACCGGTTCGTGTTATCTTGTGATAGGTGCCAACGGACGGGAGGCATTTCTAGGCGAGATGAGATGCCCCTCACCAACATCATTGAGGTAGAACTCTTTGACGTATGGGGGGATCGATTTTATGGGACTGTTCCCGGTGTCTTATGGGTCCAAGTATATTCTTTTGGCAGTGGACTATGTTTCGAGATGGGTTGAGGCAGTGCCGACCAAGACCAATGATGCTAAGGAGGTGCTGAAATTTTTGAGGGCGAATATCCTTACACACTTTGGGACTCTGAGAGCGTTGATTAGCGATGGTGGGTCGCATTTTTGTAATAAGTGGCTTGGAAGTCTCCTTGCCAAGTATAGAGTGAAGCATAAGGTGACGACGGCATACCATCCTCAAGCTAATGGGCAAGCCGAGTTGGCTAATCGAGAGATCAAGCAAGTGCTCGAGAAGGTCATTGGAAGTCGTAAGGACTGGGTGAATCACCTCAACGAAGCACTTTGGGCTTATCGGACGGCGTACAAGACTCCTCTAGGTATGTCTCCATATCAATTGGTATTTGGTAAATCATGTCACTTGCCTGTTGAATTGGAGCACAGGGCTTAATGGGCTATGAGGAAGATTAATCTCGACTTCGAAAAAGTCGGGCTCGGAAGGAAGTTGCAGCTCAACGAATTGGACGAGTTTCGCACGGAGGCGTATGAGAGTTCTCGTATATATAATGAGAAGACGAAGAGATACCATGACAAATTGATTAGGAAGCGAGAATTTGCTATAGGTGAACATGTTCTACTCTTCAATTCGCGACTCAGGCTCTTTCCCGGTAAGTTCAAGTCAAGGTGGTCTGGACCGTTCGTAATTACGAAGATGATGGCAAATGGAGCCGTGGAATTGGCAGTAAGTGATGGCACCACATTCGTGGTAAATGCTCAGCGGATTAAGCCATACTTCAGCCCGGAGCAAGCCAAGACGATCTTTATCGTCTATTTGAACGACTAAAGGTCTGCCAGGTATTCGTCTAGCTAAAGACGTTAAATTAAGCGCTTATTGAAAGGCAACCCAATGATTTAGTGTATATTTTTTCTTTAGAATAGGCTTAGTTTCGTTTTTCATTAAAAAAAAAATACCAGGTCCACACGAGTCGTGTGCCCTGTGACACGGCTCGTGTGACCTGGGGAAAAAAAATATATAAGCTACGGCTCTTTCACACGACCTGTGTGAGTATGTGACACGAGCCGTGTGGTGTCACACGGGTCGTGTGGGTTTTGGACACGAGTCGTGTGACCCTGGGCGTATTTTTGCAGATTTTTAATAGCGTCACCCGGCTCGTGTGTCCTTTGGACACGGCTCGTGTGACGCATGGGCAGTTTAAAAAAAAGGGGGCTTTCTCTTCTTCACTTTCTCAAGCACACGATCCGCTCTCTCTCTCTCTCGCATCTCTCTCGTGTCTTTCGATTTTTCGATTTCTCTTGGGTATTTTGCTCGATAATCATCACTAAATCATACATACACATCATCTTATCCATTGTTTACGGATTTGAGCTCTTGAAAGAGAGGAAATTCGGTGTTATCATACTTAGGGTTTGCTATTTCAGATTTTGCATGAATTCATCGAAGAAGGTACGAATTCTCTTCCTTTTTCTGGTAGTTTCGCGATTGGGACGTTGATTTGCGGTATGTGTGGTGTGTTTTTGGTATTATATTGATATTAGGGCTAAGAACTAGTTGAGGAATTTTATCAAACACTTCATGTGCGAGCTTGTGTTGATGAATTTGCTCTCTTTACTTTGTGGTTGATGATTATAATCGTTTGGTATGGAGAAGTGAGTAATGTTAATCATGTGGTGAATTAGTTTGTGAGTTTAATTGCTAATGTTTTTGACCTTGGTTATATTTTTGTGAATTTCGGATGATTAAAGAAAGGATGTGGAGGTGAAATGATTGAACTTGTGGTTTTATTGATTATGGATTAGTGTTGAGTTAATATTTGCTCTCTTTTGGGTCCTCATTCGTGAGTATGTGGTGACTTTGGATTGAATTGCTTGAAGTAGTACTTGAGTTTAATGATATGAATTCTCCTTTTGGCTCATGCTTGTGGTTTATGATTTATGAGAAATTCTAGTGATTGGTGTTGTGATCATGGAAGAGGGGAGATATTGTGATAATTGTTGTGGATTATTGATATTGAAGATGATATATTGAATTTTGCAAATGTAGGTACAAAATGAACAATCGTAGGCAAACAAGGAATAGCGGGGGTGCCGGTGTCCCACCTCGTGCGAACCGTCCACCGAACCCTCCACCGAATAATCCACGAGCGCGAGTTATTGAGAATGTCGAGGTCGAAGCGACTCCGGGGAGTGAGTTGGGAGTTATACTGCCGCACGACTGGCAGAAGGAAAGGTGGACACAGCTCGCGAAGATGACTATTAAGCTAACCCGGTATCCCGATGAGGCCACCGAGCGCGTTATTGGCATACATGAGGCGGTGAGGCCTCTTTGGAACAGGCTCGGGTTGGCTGGAGTCATCGGTACTCAACCGGGGACTTATAGGAGGATGGTGCTCGAGTTCTTGAGCACCGTGGAGAAAAAGAAAAGGGCGATGACCAACCAGTTGGAGATGATTACCTTCCGGTTGAACAATCAAGATTGGAGTCTCGATGAAGCGGGGCTCAATTCATGTTTTGGAGGACGAGGGGTTTTCATAGACATGTGTATGTATGACGAGTCGGGGTTCTGGCGGTCCATTACGCTGAGTTCTGGAGGAGGAGGACCGTTCCAGTTTGCCCGAGGGTCAGTGAAGGCAGCGGACATCCGTAACCCGGTGCTCCGTTATGTGCACCGGGTGATTGCGAGTACGTTGTTCGCTAGGAAGGAGAGTGAGACGGTCACGAAGACCGAAGCCTTCATTCTTTGGAGTTTGATGGAGCAGAGGAAGCCCGGGTTAGGATGGTTCGTCGGCGAGCACTTGTGCCGCATGAGTCGGGGGGAGTCAGACGTGATCCGGTGTGGTGGGACTGTGGCGATGATCGCCGACCATCTGAAGATTGACTACGCCGGATGGGAGCGAGTCCGGGGGGATGATTCGCTAGATTTGGCGGCCCTGGTTCACATGAACTATCTGAGGACTGATCTGCGAGGTCAGATGTTCTTCGTACAGAAGCTTGTGACAGACTATTTTCCTCTCCCCTACCCACAGCTGACGGGGCTCCACAGTGAGGGAAATTTGAAGATGGATACCCCCGAGCACACACGAGCCATAGCGGAGAGAT